CAGGGTAACGCCCCTTGCTGTGGGTTCTCGGGTCTTTCCCGAAGGCCCTCAGGGCGCAGGAAGCCTGCAGCGCTGGGCTGGGTGCGGGCCCCCGAGGGAGGGGCGTCGGGATCCCGGAGCGCGTCAGCCTCGACCCCTCCGGGCAGCGCCACGGCCAGTTTCACTGCTTCAGTCCGACCACCGGGCGAGCGGGCCGTGGGGTAGATGCCGGAGCCGAGCGCTCGGCGCTGAGTCTCCAACCGAGCTGGGGTCTGCGAGGTTGGGTGTCTCACCTCCCCACCCCCAGCGTGATGGAGCCCTGGACTCCTTGTCTGTCTGTCTATACGTGCGTGCCATTCCCAGTGTGGGACTGAATCTACCTTGCTTCCATGAGTCCTCGCCGGGTGTCCAGGAGGCTGGTCCCCTCCCTCCTTACTTCTGGGTCTCTCCAAGCCGTTCAAAGGGGCTCGCGTGTGCGCGCCTCTGTGGGAGCGTTAAACCCTTTTGTGTCGGCTCTGAGCGGCACCTGGGTTTTCTCAGAAGTAAAGTGGGAGTAAGGGGAGCCTTCCGGAGATGAAAGGGTGCGGACGCAGGTGGGAGGTGTCATTATGCTTTAATGACCTGTGTGCCCCTTCGCAAGAGTCAGTGCGCTGTGGATGCTGCCGGCTGCCCTCTGGCTCTGGCTCAGTGTGGGCATCGGGAATGGATGAAGGGGCCTGGCCCGTGCAGAGCCCTAGAGAGTGTGAGTCGCTGGGTGAGGTGTGGGCGGAGGTGGCGAAATGTGGTTGAGTGCCCCCATTCGCAAGCGGCTGGATTTGTGTCTCCGTGTCGCTAGGCCGTGTGAATGCATTTTCTTGCTAACTCTGTGATTGGTAGGGCCCTGGTGGTGGCGTCGCAGTGGGTAAGTGGTCCAGAGACACCAGTCGCCCTGGGATAGAATCGACTCGGCGGCAGTGGGTTGAGTTGGGTAGTGTGAGAGGCTCTTGGCCTTTCTCTGTGTCTGTGCATGTGAATCACTGGATTTGTGTGTAGCATCTGGGAATGATGGACTATGTCCCTGGGTATCCCGGCTTGTGGGTGAGTTTTGGGTGTCCCTTTTGTGTGTCGCCCCATCCCCTTGTGTATGTCTGTCTCTATGGGCACCCTGCTTCCATCTGGAGCACGCCCTTGGCCCCAGTGTGCATGTGGGAAGCGCGAGGGTTAGGATCCCTTTCCCTGGGACGAGAAGCTGTACGGTGTTCGGTGTCCTATTCCTAAGGTCGCGGGGCCGGGGTGCGAGGTCGGGGGGTGGGCAGGAGGGCGATCAGCCTGACTCTGGACCCGGCCTCTCCGCAGACTCGGGGCGGGCAGCTCATGGAGCCTGGGCTACTGCGGCCGGCGCCGGTCAGCGAAGTCATCGTCCTGCACTACAACTACACTGGCAAGCTCCGCGGCGCTCGCTACCAGCCCGGCGCGGGGCTGCGCGCCGACGCCGTCGTGTGCCTGGCGGTGTGCGCGCTCATCGTATTGGAGAACTTGGCCGTGTTGGTCGTGCTAGGGCGCAACTCGCGCTTCCACGCGCCCATGTTTCTGCTCCTGGGCAGCCTCACGCTGTCTGACCTGCTGGCCGGCGCGGCCTACGCCGCCAACATCCTGCTGTCCGGGCCGCTCACGCTGCGTCTCTCACCGGCGCTTTGGTTCGCGCGCGAGGGAGGAGTCTTCGTGGCGCTCGCCGCATCGGTGCTGAGTCTCCTGGCCATCGCGCTCGAGCGCCGCCTCACCATGGCGCGCCGGGGACCCGCGCCCGCCTCCCGTCGGGGTCGCACGTTAGCGCTGGCGGCCGCCGCTTGGGGCGCATCGCTGCTCATCGGGCTGCTGCCGGCGTTCGGGTGGAACTGCCTGGGCCGCCTGGATTCCTGCTCCACCGTGCTGCCGCTCTACGCCAAGGCCTACGTGCTCTTCTGCGTGCTCGCCTTCGTCTGCATCCTGGCCGCCATCTGTGCGCTCTACGCGCGCATCTACTGCCAGGTGCGCGCCAACGCGCGGCGCCTACGCGCGCGGCCTGGGGCTGGCGGAGGCTCCCTGCACCGGGCACGCCGCACGCCTCGCACGTTGGCACTGCTGCGCACACTCAGCGTGGTGCTCCTGGCCTTCGTGGCGTGCTGGGGTCCCCTCTTCCTGCTGCTGCTGCTCGACGTGGCGTGCCCGGCGCGCGCCTGCCCGGTTCTCCTGCAGGCCGACCCCTTCTTGGGCCTGGCCATGGCCAATTCGCTTCTGAACCCCATTATTTACACGCTTACCAACCGCGACCTGCGCTATGCGCTCCTACGCCTCGTCTGCTGCGGCCGTCGCCCCTGTGGTCTAGGACCCGGAGGTTCCCGGAGGCCCAAGAGTGCGGCGGGGGTTTCGGGCGGTCTGCGCCACTGGCTGCCTTCCGGCACGGACGCCAGCTCCAGCCGTTCTGAGCGCTCGTTGCCCCGTCGGGATGGACTGGACACTAGCGGCTCCACTGGCAGCCCGGGCGCACCCACAGCCGCCCAGACCCTGGTGCCCGCGCCTGCTGCAGACTGACGCATGCAGGCCCACCATCGCCTCCCCCACGTGCTGTGTTTGCAGACCTTTTAAGTAAAGGATGGAGTCGGCAAGGCAGCCGAAGGTCGCAGACTGGGTAAATGTCAAAGGAAGCAACACCCCATTTACTGCGAGCTTATGTGTACCAAGCATCAGATCAGGCCCTAGGGACGCCGCAGTGCACAAAACAGACAACACTGTGCCCGAAGAAATACAGCAGACACGTCTGTGACAATGTGAGGGTGGTGTCCGTGATGGCGGACCTGAAGGAAGAGCCTTCTGGGAGGAAGGAACAGCAGGTGTGAAGGCCCCGAGGCTAGTGAAAACAAGGATCCTGGTGTGTGGGAATCAGTTACCCAGTGGGGGGAGCAGGCAGAGACAAGGGTAGGGAGGTGATAACCACATGTGTAGGGAGGACC